GGATCCTTTGGATACATATACAGCACCAATACTATGCAAAATAGGAAGAGAAAAGAGAACAATACATAGGAAGAAAGATAGATTGGTATCTATATCTGCAAAACACTAGTACGCAAACATACCACAAGGCAAAACAAGTCTAGAGTGCCCTATTCTATTTGTAGCAATATACAACTTTCCTCCATATTTTTCCCTTCCCCAAACTTTCTCTTCCTCTCCTTCTGCAAGGTATCCATCTATTTCCCATCCCCCTTCTCCACAAGGATACTTTCTGTTTTTCTCTATGTATTCTTTTGCAGTATATACATGTTTGGCATTTCCAAAATCATATTTCTTCCAATCTTCTACACAAAATCTTCTGGGCATACCATTTTCTTGGACATATTCCATAGTTGTTTGTATTCTATACTATATATAGCATATATCCAAATGGAAAATCTATAGCATTCGAAAAGCATCCTGTTTTGTGGGAGGGTCCTGCGGTGGAACAATGGACGCTTCCTTTTTTCTCCGTAGTTTCCATAGTACAACAATTGGAAGGAGAATATATCCCACTATATTTGTGTATTTGGCAAACCATTGCGCTTTCTGTACATTCTTTTCCAAGGACTCTACATCTTCTTCTATATCCTCCACATCCTTCCCAAAGGACTCCAATTCTTCTTTCTCCTTCGCAATATTGTTTCGTATATCCAACAATACTCTATATATATCTCCCAATATGTCTTCGCGAGACACACGCTCTATGGGGTTGTATGGTTCCACCTGTGTCGTGCTTTCTACAGGGTTCTCCGAATTTTTCCATATTCTATACAACCTCCCAGCTCCAATACCATATTTTCTTTTCGCATCCTCCACGGAGATGCTCCCACGAAGGGCACGAATTTCTTCCAACTCTTCTTCGGATAGATTTTTCTTTCGCGGCATCGTATACATATTCTACGAAATCTTGTCTCCAATAGGAATCCTATACATAGAAATTCCAAGCACCAAGAATCCTGTACCTAGGAAAAGCAAGCAAATGCTTGTAGCAAAATATAGCAAAATATAGCAAAAATATAGCAACAATATAGCAAAATATAGCAAAAATATAGCAAAATATAGCAAAATATAGGATTTGCTATATTTTGCTATATTTTGCTATATTGTTGCTATATTTTTGCTATATTTTGCTATATTTTGCTACAAGCATTTGCTTGCTTTTCCTAGGTACAGGATTCTTCTTTGGAATCCTTTGCTTTTGTATAGCATCGGAGTGGTCCAAACTCTACACCTTCGTTTGTGGAAGATAGGATGTCTATACGAAATATTGGACAAGCGCGAAACCCAAAGTCTCCAATTGCAAATTCTACTGCTCTTTCCCATTTCTTCGTATCTTCTATTGTCTCTTTTTTCGGATGTATATGTATCCCTGCTATTCTCCTAGTTTTTGTGTGTGCATACCATGCTACAAATATCTTCCCAAGAGGTCTAGAGGCGACTATACAACATCTATCCAATTTCTTTGCCAAGTTTCTCCATTGGTTTTCTGGTGGTTGTTCGAGAAATAGTGGTTCTTCTTTGGGGGATACCAACTCTAGAATTTCGTCTACAACCCAAGGTCCTATGTCTTCGTCTGGTGCATACACAGATACTTCTATTCGAGAACAACCTCTTTTCTGTACGTCTGGATGCAAAAATGTTTTTCGTAGGTGTCTATTTGGACAATCTACATAATTTTTTTATTGCTCCTACACCTTTCCAATACCCTCGTGGGCTATAGTAAATTTTATTCATTATTAATTAATATTGATATTTCTTTTAAAACGACTTTCGTTGAATCGCATCACTAATAGAAGCAATGATTGGCCCCAGGTATTGGTGAGCTAGAGCCAAACTCATGACTATCGTTAAATCGCATAATCATTTTGACATTAAAAATCCCCCTGTAGTAGCGGTATAGGTATATGAATCCTGCTCCAGTGGAGTTGCGGCAGAACCCTATTACCTATAAAAATTTATATCATTGGCTCCAGGTGGAGTCAATTTAGCTGAATCTTATGACTATCGTTGAATCGCATAGTCATTTTTACATAAAATATTCCACCTGTAGTGATGGTATAGGTATATAAATCCTGCTCCAGTGGAGTTGCGGCAGAACCCCTATTACCTATACTACTTGCTCAGTTGTATCGTCATCCTCTTTAATAGGCGTACACATAGACTGGGTTTCCCATGGATTTAATGCTTGCTCGGCTGAGTACCTTTGCTTGCAATACATGATCCGGTATGCCACCTTCCACATAGTGAAATATGTAGTATATATCCTGTGAGTATTTGTTGAGAACAGCCTGCTTATCATTGTTCTTGGCTCTACGGGATACCAATTTCCCAGGTGGAAAATCATCGCATGTATCCCTTGCATGGTCGTAAATACTTTCACGTATGTGATTTAGCTCACGTGGGTCACTCTTGTATATCTCAATCAAAGATTGTTGGAAAGACTCTTTGTCTTTGTGTCCCAGCTTACGCTTGACATCGTCATAGCTGGCTATATGCTGACTGTCGCTTGGCTGGGTGTTGTAGAATGTTTCCTCAACATCGGTCATTGTTAACCAATCAAGGTAGAAGCCTCCGAGCACGGCTGGTACGTGAGCTCTAATCAGCCTCAAACACGCAGCACATTGTAATGATATAGAAAGTTTTAAGTTATTTCCAATAAAGTAGGAACTGTTATGAGAAAAGTGATTTCATAAATCCAATCAGTACCTTGAGATATCCATACTGGACACGTTTTTGCATTGTGGACATTCTTGTAGTCTTTAGAATATAATTTGTTTTGAAGAACGTTGCAACTGCGACCATTACAGTTCACGCATGCGCATGCGCAGTTATAAAACACACTAATTTAAACGCGTTTGATATCAACACTTTTAGATTTTACTAATTAAAATATAAACCACTAGCAACCAAAGTTTGATCATAAAACATGATTTATATCACTACTTCAACCACCGGTTGATGTACACAGTTTCTTGCTCCAGCGCCCTCAACAACCAGACGCAGTTTCGCTGGAAATGGGTTGGCCAATTTAATCGCCTCGAACAACAAAGCCACAATCTACCCCACGTCTTCACTGGGAACTACACATGAAAGATTTACGTGAGCCATGTTTGGCTAGTGGTTTATAATACACCGCAGGCGACTATTTGTATGTCTAGGACCCTGTTATCGTCGTCTCGTTTCTGAACTGAGTGTCGTTTGTAATTCGTTTACTTACGTTTATCTGCCTAAATATTAACTAAATATTAAAATTGTAGCATCTTATGAAAATAGAATATTTACTGTCATTTCTTATACTACTCAATGTTTGCTGAGGATAAAACAAAACATAAAAATTGAAATGTCCAGTACGTTGCACAGATGAAATCGAGATACTGTCCAGACTTCTCAGATATATAGAATGCTAAACGAGCTCCCGTGTAATACCAATTTTATGAAACGAGTGAATAGTTCTGGTATCCTAACTATTCATGAGTTTCATAAAAATTGGTTTTACACGGGAGCGAGTTAAGTATTTGATTTATTACTTGCCATTTATAACGTTTTTAGAATTACACTGTTGAGTGTGAGTAGGCTGACACCTACACGATCCACAGCATAATCCAATTGAGTTTCACAGAATAATACTTCAAACACGTCAAAAGTTGAAACGTAGGAATTTAAAACCATACAACAGTCCACATTTAGAATTCAGGCGTCCGTTCCACAAAATTATCGTAGCGCTAAGGTTATCGCAACTCACATACTTTAACTTAGAAACGACTGTCGTTGCGTTACAATACGATCGCCTTGTGAAACGGGGCCTTGCACCTCAAAGTTTACAACCAAGTCACAATACCCGATGACGTAATTTGTGGAATTTGTTGCAAGATCCATCGGCAAAACAATGCCATGTTAGGTCAGCCTAGCAACAAGGTTGCTGGGGTCATCGAGTGTGCATAAGCTCTCCTCAGTGATCTATCATCTCCAAACGCAATGCCGTTGAATAAGCCAAGGGATGTTGAGAGCTTTAAATATTTGTTCGTGAAACGTGTTCCGAGAGTACATAAGCACGCTTTTTTGTATTACACAATGTGTAATACAGCTGTATGTTTTCTAAACGGGTGATCTCTTCACGGGCAAGTAATAAAATTGCCAGAGATTGCGTAGACAAGGAGAACATTTTAGGGTTCCAACGAAGCCAAACATGGAGGGGGCTCAATCATGATTTTGGGTGGGATTAGTTTTGTTTGTTTGTTGTTTGACGCCGCACTCAGCAATATTCCAGCCATATGACGGCGGTTTGTATAAAAATCGAGTCTGGACCAGACAATCCAGTGATTGACATCATGAGCATCTATCCACGCAAGTCAACTAAGTCAGCGAGCCTGACCACCAGATCCAGTTAGTCGCCTCTTACGACAAGCATAGTTGCCTTTTACGGCAAGCATGGGTCGCTGAAGACCTATTCTACCCCGGATCTTCATGGGTCGGTGTTATTATTGGAGATAGAAAAGCTGATATCCATGTCCCACAGCGGCAACGATGTCAGGTGTGCTCTACAGGAATGACATTCTGGATGGTACGTGAGACCATATGCCGTGCAGTCGGACCAGACTTCATCCTCCTGGACGATAACGCACGACCTCATCGTGCCAGGGTCGTTGATGCCTCCTTAGAGCTGGAGACTATTGTCGTCATGGGGTGACCAACCCGGTCACCAGACCTCAACCTTTTCGAACATATGCGGAACGAGCTGCAGCTCGCCCCCGCACGACGTCCTGGCCTATCGGCAGATCTACAGGAACTGGGCAGTACAATGACAACATACTTTTTGTTTATTAAGCATGTCTTCACAAAATATTGTCTCTGGCTATATGCACACAATTTTATGTATTACCTTTTAAAGTGGTAATCCTTGGCAAACACTGAGCATTATATTACATATTATACACTCTAATAATTTGTATATACACTACCTTTTTGTGGTTTCTTTGGGCTCCCCATTATATGATCCATGTATTGCTGGAGAATTGGAATAATTTCTATCATTTTTTTATCGACGTTTGTATTGATGTCTTCCAGAATCTTCCGCATCCGCTGCACAGTTTCTTCTTCAAGGTTGTCCGCCAGCGTCTTACCTGAAGTTAGTGCTTCTGCAAATTGGTAGCAATTGGTCATAAGGCTTATTTACAGACATTCAAAAAGCGTTGTTTGACTAGAACGTGCATGTATGGAAACAACTGACAAAAAAAGGAACGACACATGATGATGACAATGATTCACTCTATCCAAATTGTTGTGTTAACGTAATATTACGTGTTAACGTGTTAACCCTATTGTGATGTTCGGAAACCAACAGGAAATTTCGCGATGCAGGTTACACTTTCACTTACCTTGGAACTTGATTTGTGATGTATGATTAGTTTTCGGAAATTCATTGGGGATATCATGTTGACAGATAGTTTATATTATCTATTATGAGTCACATGCGTCCTTTATTACCTGTACATGACTTTACAACTGCAATGGCTATGTTCTGTTGAAGGACGCACACTTTCAGGTTGCGGACCCACGTTAATAATGAAATTGATACATGTTACAAATTTATCAATGACATGTACATCTATCTAATAACACATTTAGGTTTGTAAATAAAGACGAAAAACATATTTAGAACCTTAAGAAACATCGACTAAAAGCGGAGTCCAGCATACGATTTCAAACATATCATAAATGCATGTTTCACTATTCGCGAAAGGGGGAGGGTGTCCTGCCCCATTGGTGGCCCCATGGCAAACACATGCAAAGACAAGTCAAGTGTTCACATGAAAAATCACGGCAACATATGGTACAAGTCAAAATAGCGATTTGCATTGGACATTGTTTGGAAATATTCTCTACTTTTAACTTTAACAGAAGAAGAATCCATATGCGCAAAAACAAACTGCAATTATATATAATGTTCATACAACGACTCCAGTTTAAGCAACGCCCATTTTGTCAGCCTCGGAAAACATCTTATGCTTTAACCACGGCACGAAACTTGAATTGTATATTATTCACTAGTCACTACCAATGATTCTGAAAATATTGATGTAAATGTGTTAAATATGGACATATTTTGTGTCACAATTTCTTTAGTTTAATTATTGTCAGGTCTACCTCTGGCTGTGCCAGCTACAATAAGTTTAGTAGGACAAATTGATGTTGGCAGAGGAAATGGAGGGCTTGGATCTTATTCCTAAGTGTTTTCTTATTACCAAATAAATATATACAATTGTTTTTTTATTTTGAAAATATGAACCCGTTTAGGACCATTTGTGATTTTTACTGAGACATAGTAATAACTGCCTCTCTAATGTATGCACATTTTTAGCATGACAAGATATGTTAATAAACGCGACAAACCCTTTCCATATTCATAAGATATATCTGCTAAACGCAGAATTTATTTTACGATTGTTATTACCGTATTTATTAATGGAAACTACCTTCTACCTAAGCTTGTTTAGCTTTGATTAAAATTTAAGATTGTAAAGTTTCTAGTTTGGCTCGGGTGGTGGGGTAGCCTCGTGGTTAAAGCGTTCGCTCGTCACGCCGAAAAGACCCGGGTTCGAATCCCCAAGAGTACAATGTGTAAGGCCCATTTCTGGTGTTTCCACCATAATATTTGTGGAATATTGTAAAACCGACGAAAAACCAAACTAATTCATTCACTCACCAACTCTAGTTTGACTCAGTGGAATTGTTTAGGGTCACTAATATAAAAAAACAGATCAAGTTGTTAAAATATTTTGCAAAGTATTTTCTGCAAAGCCTTTTAGCCTCAGTAAAGTTCTATCTGAAGGTGTCACAGGTTTTTAAAAAAGATAGGAAAGTGCTCAATCCACAGAGGTCTTCGTGGATGGACCAATCGCATTCAATAGTAAATCTGAAACTGTCATCTGTACCAGTACGGGGATGTCCATATGTTTTGAACCACCATCATATATACATGGGTTATTGTTAGAAATGAATTTTCTAAAAGCTTCCCCTTACTGGTTGTGTGTAGACTATTATGCCAAATTAAATCACCAGTATTTGTACAGGCTTTGGGGAGTTGATTATAGAGCACCTGAAGATCAGAAAACACAGAATACAACAGCTTGAAGAGGGTTAGTAAGATGATTGGGGCTAAAGAGTGAACACCTCCACTGTCATTAGCATCAGGAGGTGAAAAGAAATTGAAGAAGTATGACATTTTATATTAAATTTGTCAGTGTTTGAATGGTATGTTTCCTGTAAACATGTTGCCGAGGGTTTACAATTTTGAATTGATACCCCCAAGAAGTGAGGTACTGGGTATTAGATTTCTGTTGAACATTCTTCTTTCTTTTTTGGTTAACTTTTATTCTGAAATGATTGGTTGTTTAGGAATCGGCTGCGAGCGAGTATAATTTTGGTTTCAGTTTGTCAATCAGGGCATGATTTTGAAGAGGCCATTTTGTATTGGCCATCACAGTTGCTGCATTCAATCTGTACTCTCATGGTTGGTACGCTGACAAACCACGGAGCATGTACGGGTCTTTCACCCATGTTTGAACATTATTAATACTTGATTGGATTGAGGACATACAATGTTGATATCATCATCATTAATTGAATGTGGGACCGAAGAACGGGCAAAAGTGAATAAGTAACCACATACTCGTTGTGTTTAACATAATAAAGAGGTTGACATCCAAAAATTATTTTTCTTATGAATATTGTCCCGATACACGGCGTGGCAAGCCGACTGATACCACCACCTGTCCTGGCGAAGTAAGGGTCAACGTGGTTCGTTGCTTAGAGGAACACTGTTCAATTCAATTCAATTCTTTTTTCTTTATTTCAGTATAAAGGCCATAGGCCCACGTACAAATACTCATTGAAAAATACAGTATGAGGCAGATGACAGAGGGTATTAAGTGACAGTATTTCGGATTGCAAGTGCTTCCAGTATATACTTAACACAATTAGTTACAATACTAGTGCGGTTACAAGATAATAGAGTATTATATTTAAATAAGGTAGGATTGGAAGAGTAATAAATAGGTAAATACTTATTTCTTAAATATCTGTAACATGGGCAGACAAGCATAAAATGAAACTCATCTTCAATTTCCTGTAAATTACAATATCTGCACTGCCTATTACAGTACTCTATACCGCATCTTCTACCTAAATTTACCATCAATGGCAACTCGCCAATTCTTAACAAACAAAACATACGTCTATAATGACGGCTTGTGATTTCACGGAACCAGTGAGCTGTAACTCTTATTTGTCTGAACGACTAAAGTTAAAACTGAAAAAGCTATACACTTTTATAACTGTATATTGTTTACGAACACACAATGCTTTAAAGAAAGTGGTCAACCGTAACACATGTTATGTTTGGGATGACACTTTCTTAGTAAAGTACAGATTCTCGTTCTAAAAAGTGAAATTCATCTGGGATTCCTTATCAACAGCCCACAAAGTTACGTTCTAACCGACTCAGCCACCGAGGCTTCCACAAAATGAAAGTCCGAAAACTGGTAATTAGATCACGTAGATGACGTACTTTGTGTACCCCTCTGACAAGTGTAAATTGGCACAACTCCCTTAGCCGAAAGCTATGAACACACAATGCCATTTAGAAAGTGGTCAAAAGTACAGATTCTCGTACTTTTTTTAGTTGAGTCTCATCCGGGATTCGAACCCACACTACCAGAGTGAGGCACCTAATCCCCACACAAAGTCAGCGACCTGACCAACTCAGCTATCGAGGCTTCCACAAAATGAAAGTCCGACACTTGGTAGTCTAGATCACGTTCTGCGTGTACCCCTCTGACAAGTGTAAATTGGCTTACTTTGTGTGCTGGCGATTAGGTGCCTCACTCTGGCAGTGTGGGTTCGAATCCCTGATGTACTCTACTAAGAAATGTTATGTCAAATATAACATTTGTTACATGTATATTTTTAGCATAAAAAATGTCCTGTGGTAGATACGTGAAGATCATTTCCATATTTGACGCATCAGTGACACAAATTATGTCCGATTCAATTCCCTAATTTGAGTGGTGCCATGTATTTCTGTGTTTGTTCATGTGAACACTTGACTAGCCTCTGCATGTTGCATGGCAACTTATATGATCGACTTGGTGCTTCTTGAAAGTGAGGCAAAGCTCAGTGGACCAGTTAAAAGACATGAAGTTCATAGAAGATGATGTAGATGTATGTCCATAATAAATATAAGTGTCGTTCTGTTGAGTACCTTTCACAAACTGTTTACATGTAAATACTTGTTGCAAATAGAGATTATGAGTGTCAACACTGCCTTGATTCAGACACGAGTTTCGTAAAATTAGTATGATACACACATAAAGATAATACGCTGTTATTATTTAATATCAAGCAGCTAGAAATGACCATTCTGGTGGTCAGTTAATCTACATTTGAATAGAAGCCCTTACTACTTACTGAACAAAGCATCCAAGGTGTATCTTGAGGTTTCGCTGCTTTTTGTGGCGTTCCCCTTCTGAATAAACATATTTGGATCCATTTCTTAGATCACGCAAATGAACACGACCGTCAAATATAACACCCGTTACTACTAGTGAAATTATAATAGAGAGCGATTCTTTCATAAATTTCGAGAAATACGTTTGTTTGTAAATTCATGCCTGCATTAAAGTAAAGCACTCCTCACGAATGACATTATGACACCAAACATGAGACCAAAACACATGAATATACTATAGATATTAAGTCCAATCGTTTAAGGCATTAAAATACTTTTTTCGAAGTGAAATAAGATTGATACTGCATGCTGTCCAATAACATTTCCAATATAAATGATTGCTGTTACTTCTCGGGGGTTTTCAAACTACATTGAATGCGCTGGTAACTTAATTGATTATATTCTTGCAGATACATTAGTTGAGTGGTGTCAGATTTAGTTAGTATAGTTTATGCTGACACTGTATTCGATTTTGTTCTGATTTCCTTAGTTTGACCAAGGCCATGTCAGGGCAAAGAGAAGAAGACAGAAGGGGGGAAAGAGACAGAAGATTTCATTCTTTTACCAATGAATCAATGAATAAATATTGCTTTATGCCATATCAGGTATTCGCGTCGAGAACCAGTTGATAAAGAAACCAGCACATAAATAGAGGATTCATCCCGAGTATTTCCCATATTAAAACACACGAGTGATGAATTCTATGTATCATTTTCACATTACTGAAATAAACATCAGAAATAGTGCGTAGTGATAAGTGTTTTTCATTGCCGTGTGACGGTACTTAGAATCAAAATAAACAACCTGTTAACTCCTTTATGACATAATCTTTCGCTGAAAAAAAGTCTCTCGCATTCTTTTAAACATGATACTTGAACGGAGGACTGCAGAATAATTAACACTTTAATAACGATGACAACAACGATTTTGTGTGATTTGATTATATATCTGGTATAATGTCACTGATATTAAACTTTCGAATCAAACTGCGCTCTCACTTGAAGAAGGTCAGAGTATGCTTGAGTCGGTGTCACTATTGACCAGTTATCCGCATTATTTGATTATTGTCGGAACATAATGGTCATTCAACTTTTGCACAAGGTGTTTACCCGCAGTGTGATTAGTGAGCCGTTTCAATGTGTTGGAGACAGGAGGCATCGCACATCGAGAGGAAAGTTTGTTTTTCCCAATGCGATAGCAGATAAACCACTGATTGCCAGGTTTAAGCATGCCTAAAGTGTGTACGTCAATGTAAAAGGGATCGTCATCTCAACAGATGTCGAGCGGAGTGTTACTTCAGTTCATTTTGATGTCTTCGTGAAGATACGTGCCGTTTGGATTTTGTACGCGTTGGAGCCTGTGGAGTTGGTCATTTTTGATGTTACTCATGTTGCAATAGTTAAGCCGAGATATGACCAAAGATCCAGCAAAAGTGTGTGCAGATTCTTTTGTGAGTAGATGTCGAACGCTTTCCCATGTTGCGGAGATGAAAGAAGCAGGACTTGCAGACATGGCTTACATGTTATTCCATAGTAAGTTCTATCCCTTCTTGTCACATGGACAGTTCGAGATATCCTTGATCATCTCCATTAACATGCAAAGTCCTCAGAACACATGTTGTATTGATCATTGACACCTCTTAGCATGAAATGGATTGTGTTGTATAGCCATAGACAGTTTATAAAGTGCATTGGCTTATAGATTCAAATGGATCCGGACTGCCAGAGGGACTCGATTTATTCATCACCAATCGGGTCGGCTCTTCTGGGGGAGTTGCCACGCCCTACTTTCAATTATCCTCCCCCTTAATATCTCCCGTGAACGTGAAAATTGTAAGGATGACGTGAAGGAATAGCCATACCCTATTCGTTTTAGTGATCTATCGATGCTGCTCTGAAACCCTGTGAGACTGTTTCATTCATAACTTTCCCCATTTGTTTTTCGAACGCTAATGACAAACTTTGATAAAGGAGTGTCTAATTCGTTTGGGGGTATTTTATGCATTTGGCGAATTTCATTTTAGCCATCGATCATGCCGTCCTCAAGCGCCACAAATCTACCTCAGGTATCTTTAGGCTTTGTGCTCGTCGTTTGCTTCACCATGCTCGACGATGGTGTTACGATGCCGAAACGTTGGTCACAGGGGATTCTAGATAACCTACCTTTATCACAGTCAAATTCAAATTCGTTACCATCAACCAGTAACCTGTAATATACATTTGAAAACACTGATATCGCTGTATCACTCCCTCTTTGATCTATTAAAACATTGTCTCCAACATCAAAGGTTTCCATGTTGTTTTAAAACACCTGTTCCCACTTCCGGGATTTTTAATTTGTATGTCTTATTTGCATACTTATGTCATTTGGGTATAACACACACGTTTCATGACATAAGCTTATGTCATTGATAAATGCTTTAGTTAAATGATAAATGATGATATCAAGATCCGACAATAGCTTTCCAAATTGCAAGAGATATTAATTTCTAGTAATAGTTCTATGACAATAATGAACGAATTGCGAACACATTACAACTGGCGGTGGCACAGGACAGCAGATGTTTAGACCGCCAACAGACAATAGGGATAAGATGGGAAAATTTGACATTTTTGGGATCAGTAGTGCGTAATGCCGCCACAATCTGTCAAAAGTTCATTCACTCGATGAAGTTTACTGTGTGTGAGTTTTCGAATTGCAATTTGAGCGATTCTGTTCCACTCTTGCAGCCTCCGTGGTAGGCGGTGTATAACGTTGACGCACACACCTCCCTATCAGGTCCCAGACGTGTTTAATGGGGAAAGATCTTAGGGTCATTGCAGGACTTGGCAGCCTATGGTTGTTGTGCTACTACTGGAGTTCAACATTGACGATTTACTGTATTGTTAGCATGGGCAATGTTGTCCTGAAAGGCAACCTACACGCCTTGCAAACGGCCCTTCAGAACTGTCCAGTGACCCTTCGACAACACAAGGAACGCACCAGAGATTTAACGTCAGATTGCCCCACAACCGCCTATCAAGGAGGTGCACAATGAATCAGACTCATCTAAGAACATGACCTTTCACCCTCGACGATTACCCCAGTTTCGATGTAGTCGGATGAAAGTTTGCAGCAATAACATTTTGACCATGTTCTACTTTTGTTGACCTGGAACGCCCTAAGAGACTGTGTAACATTGAACGTATTTGCCACTGCACACTGACTGTTTCCAGAATGCTAATAACCCGTAGAAGATCCTTGCATTGCAGACGCTCCTTCGCTAGTTCAAACACAAACAATGAATGAAATCATGAAAATCACAACTGTATGTTATGCTGAATCAATAAGATTGACAGAAATGATGGTCAACAAAGATTGACTTAGCTACCTTCCTGGAAGTATCTAAATCAGGAATGACACCCTGTGCATGTGTGTGACACTACTGTGTGTGGCGGGTGCAAACGATAGGTTGTATTTTGGAGCAAGGAATTACAGACATAAACGTTATTGCATAGGATGTTTGTCGCCAAACACATGTCCTTGTTCTAATACTTGGTATTAACATTTATATTTTATGGTCCCTTACTTTTTGTTAAGTGTATATCATAGACCAATGAAGATAATAATACAATTTATCGTGCAATAGTGCAAAGTTACTGCTACTCACGAAAAATGTGTTCTCTCCAAATGGATTCCATTTCCTCCATTTCATCCCTAGGAAGGTCTGAGGACTGAGCTGCAAAATATGGTACATTGCTAGTGTTACAAACATCTAAAATATGGCAAAAGTTGAGTGATTAAACTTGATTAGACATTTTAGAAATTTATCCCATCTCTATCCACAGAAAGTTTACTCGTCAACTATGAGAAAATGATCAAACTTGAGAAAGACTTAAAAACTTTCCACCTTCATGCTATGAACAAAACGAATGAATGAGTTGACATTGGTTTGAAACATATCAGCAGTATTCAAGCTCTTTCCCGGTGAGAAGCATTTCATGAAAAATCCAGAAGTGCATGCATATACAGAAATATCATACAAGGATGATATTAAGACAACATAAAATATCCGTCAAATTTCACAGACAAAGAGGGAAAAACTTACTAGAATCTATGTCTTGTCATAAAAAAATGTTGTATTGTTAAGGCTTTGTACTTGAATAAACATGCTTTCACAGTAGAAACATAAAAATATGTATGGCTTAAGGAATGTGTTCATGTTTTACAAATTAGTTTGATGTTGACTGAACTGCGAAAATACATGGTTATCCAGAACTTGACCCTATGAATCCCATACTTGAAAACCTCTAGTATTGACTAAAATAACTGTTCAATGCTATGTCACCCACCGGGTACGGATAATTTACATGTCTGTCATGTCTCAAAATATATATTGTAAATATTGTATCATGCCACATGTATGATGATCAGTTAATGAATTAATATAGTAGTTTCAACAAAGTGGTAATTGTATTAGTAATGTTCATTGTATTTTAGAACCATGGACCATATATATATATATATATATATATATATATATATATATATATTGTATCTTATAAGTAATGGCGGGATCGAGTTATCGCCCTTGATGAATTGTTTGTTTACTTTAGAATTAAGATAATGATTTTAAATATCATATGATTATCAAGTTCAGCTTCATGTACATTATGAACGGTCGCTTTGTATTGTATTAATATGGGTTTGAAACCTGTACACTACTGTTTCCATAATTTTATTGTCTTGTACATTACATGGTGTCATTATCTATTAAGGCAATAAAGAATCACGCCCGTAGCCTGTGTTGGACCTTGCATTTTGCCATCACAAACCCCGGTTTCAAAATGGAGTCCCCAGTGAGGTCTTTTGCTTTAGAAATGTCAGCCAGAATCTTCGTGGGGTAGACCGCTCCCCTTCCGCTCCCCTGTGTACATGCACATGTGCTGTAATCTGCCAAGCCATGTGTTTCCATATACTTTCACGGTATCTGTGACTGACTTCTTTGTATTGACATTTGTGGATATGACGTTGTGTATTTTGTTTCCTATATAGTAAATGTAACTTGTACGTTATTCCCGTACACATATCAGATTTCTAACATCTGATATTTTGTAAATTACTTCCCTTTGCAATCAATCATGTAATATATGTTACTTCATAGTATCTATTTGTCTTTGCCGGCTTAAGTTTTTCATTACTGTATTACAATTATCTGCATCTGTGTAAGGTTTCGTAATTGTAATTACATTCAACCTTTCTCTACATTTGTAATTATAGATATTTATCTGGCCAGTAAACCTTGTTATGTAGCATTTCACAACTTGTTAAAACATTTTTCGGTGATCACGACATTTGTATACTTTGGTATTGTGTATATTTGCTTACGGCATGTTTAGTTTAGTTTAGTTTAGTTTAGTTTAGTTTAGTTTAGTTCAGTGACTTTTGGATTAACTGTTTTGTTAGTTTCAATAAAGTTTGATATATTTGCCTACCTTCCGTAGACTTGGTTTACTTAATTGGTTTAGTTAGTATTTAGTTAGACGTTTTGATTAGCTGTTTAGTTACTGTATTGAAACTATCATATTTTATTATAAATTCTATTTGCTTCTTTCACCTTTCTACACTTATGCAAATAAACTTGGATAGGTATTAAATTATAATAATAATAATTGGGTAAGAATTAGTTTTTGTTGTTTTTTTCTGACTGCCTTACCACAGCATGACCTAGTTGAAAACTTTTCCCCATCTGCACCTTTTTTCACATTTACATTACAGCATGCCTTGATCTATTCCTTCGTGTTGTCTTGTGGGTCTTATGTTCACACCTAGTATTAGTTATCTTAGGTACTTAACTTCATTATGAAGCATATTAGTATCTTCTTTTATTTACTGAGGTTCTTCTTCTTCTTCTTTTTTCTAGGAAATATTGTTGCAAGCCATTATCACAATTTCTGTGATTTTTCATAGTCGTTGCACATCTTCTTCACATGCTTTTGCGATCTTCATTTGGATTTTTGTAATCCTTCCTATTGACTGCATCATACTCTTTCATCATGAATCTCGAAGAAGAGGAGATGGAAAGTTTGCTGACTATATTTACAAAGATGAGACTGTCTCCAAAGATGACCAGATGACTTTAAAGCATGGATTCAAGGGATGGCACAACAGGAATGACCTATTGTAAAGACAGAGCCTGGTGTCAAAGGCGCCTCCTCAGCCACTAATCCTTGACTTGCTGCTCCACCTTCAACATCTGGCATAACATATCAACACTTTCCCAAGATACCATTCTTTAGCGGAAAGACTGGAAAGGACACTCCATATGCCTTGTTGTTCAAAGACTCATTCTCTAGATGTTATACTCCCGGTTATCAGAAAATCTTTGAAGGGAGAAGCCCCACTGGTTGCCATGAAGCTTGGACACACTGCCACAGTGGAGGACCTCTTGTTCAAGATCCATTCTGCTTTTGGAACTTTGAGAAGGAAGGAGACCCTGATGTCAGTTTTATGGTACTTTCCAAGGAGACAAGGAAGATGTTACAGCATGGGGTTGCCGGCTGGATGGAGAACCTTATGTACCAGATAGCCTCTTAACGTCAGGTGAACTGGGAGGAACAGCCTGAAATGCTCCGAAGCAAGATGTAGGATGGCCTCAAGCCTGAACTGAAGAGCCTTGCTGCCCATACGTATTATAACATCTTCAACTTTGATGAGCTCCGACTATGTTTGAGGGAAGTTGAGTCGACATGAAGCGGGATCAAAGTCACAGCACAGGAAAGAAGACAGCTACCATAAATATGTCCTCTACCTCTGACTCTTCTACTGCTGTTTCAACTAAGTGATGGATTTTAAAGCCATGATGTGGGATATCAAGACAGAACTAGCTGACCTTAAGGAGCAACATCAACATTCAGCTCAAATATTTCTTCAACAGACTCATCACTAGACTCTCAAGGTATTCCTCAGACTTCTTGAAAGAGGAACAGCAAACATTATGGGAAAAGGAATGGACCATCACATCCAACAGGCTCGTTCCAGTCCAAGATGCCATCTGTTATGCCTCAGCAACAGCCTTCTTACAGTCAGCACTCGCCTCCTAGACCACAAGCGCCATATATGCCCCAGCCTATTCCACCACCACAACCGCCTCAAGTTGATTGATATTGACTGCAGCCAGAACCACTGGAATCCATCTGTTGTTACTAATGGATTATGACATGTTTCTGTTTATTGAGAAGCTGTTACGCGGGGTATATCAATGGTTTCTTAAAGATTTGGCAAAGCCAATAATTTACAGAAACTTACGACTCAGATAAACCTATTTCTATATTCTGAATTCAGAAGGAAATTCTCTTTGGATCTTTTGGAGCTTTGCATCATATGCCAAGGTCAGTAATAATTTACATGATCAGAAAAAAGAGTCCCTCAAGGCAGTATTTTATCAGTGACAATGTAAACATAAAAATCGACCGCCCTGTTAAAAGTTTAAAATGTTTCATTATTTATTTATGATTTTAATATATCATGCTGTGGTGCAACCATGCGCACCATTGAGAGACAGTTACAATTTTGTCTATATAAAATACATAAATTGTCTCTTGAAAACGATTTGAAGTTTTCCCAAACAAAACCCTATTATGCTCACTTTTGCAACACTTAGAAAATACATAAAGATCAGTTATTTGAATATTATTCCAATTAAAGTGGTCAGGGAAACCAAGTTTTGGGGTATTATCCTTGATCATAAGTTATGCTTTATACCTAATATTAAAAATCTTGAAGCTAGATGCTTAAGCGCTTAGTATTTTAAAGGTGGTATCATATGGCAAGGGGGGTGGAGACTTTTGCATCTCAATAGAACTTTGAAAAGGTCAAAACACGATAATGGTTGATTCATTTGATTCGTAAATAATATATCAGATAACTTGACACTATTCACCATAAGGGACTTCAGTTGTGGTTTGGAGCATTTAGGACTATTGACAGTTTGTATATGGCGACAAATGAGCCTTGTCTTAATTGGAAACGAATCAAACTGCCATTCGTATACATCACTAAACTTCCAACCGATCTAATCCAATATTTAACAATGTATTTGCTCCTCCATATCAATATTGTATGACAGAAACAAAATTCAGTTCCACCACTTGGCATTTGCATACAATCTCACATCAAAGATAAAATGTAATCATTTTGCTATTGCAGAATACAAAACAACAGCAATGCCTCCATGGCCTCCATGATAATCAGTACAACCAGATGTTAATTTAGAATTGGCAAAACTAAAGAAGTAACTTATCAATTATTTTATCAACAAGAATTGTACGAACTGAAGAACCTTTATCCCTCTCATTTCAGTATCTACAAAGATGGATCAAAGGTAGTGAGTAGGTATCACCAGCAACTGTGACTATCAGTTTTCCATTTGAATTTTACGAGAGAAACTCATGCTATGGCTATTGGCTGCCCAATCACGAAGGCATCAGTGGCAACTGTAAAGCCGGTGCCTTGGCAAAAGCTGCTCTGAATATGTCAACTTGAAAAACAAACTTCCACTTGCACAAACCAAAATCAGTCCGATTGTAAGACAGCTTGGATTTAAGATCACAATCTTAGTTAAGACCGAAATCTTCAACGGTGGAGGTACGAATATCTTAAACACGACTCCTGTCTACAGTTGTCTGCAAACGCGCATAGCTTGCATATAATGACTAGAACCAGTTAGGACACACAACA